CGACACGGAGGAGTGCTTTACCTTGAAACGCGAGATTGAAAGACTGATCCAAAGAGGCCATCTGAGTAACTTCGTCAAAGGGGCTGCACAGCAGCCCAACCATGTATGGCGGAAATCATCAGAACAAGTGGCATGCACGCAGCCGGAGACCCGAAGGGCAGAGAAAAGACACATTGGAAATGAGAGTGACGAGGATGCCTCGGATGAGCCAGGGCCGAAGCGAGACAAGAGGAACCATGACATCAATTTCATTTATGGAGGTAATGCAGGCGGGGACTCTTCGTCCCTTCGAAAGAAATGGGCTCGTCAACTGTACATTGGTGAGATCATGCACTCTCCAATGAAAAAGAAGGTACGACGTGAACCTATATGCTTTACTGATGATGACCTACCACCATGTCCAAGCCCACATCGGGATGCCATGGTTATCAAAATGGAGATCAATGATCTTGTCATACACCGTACCCTGGTCGACACTGGAAGTTCCGTTAACATAATGTACCTCGACACTTTCGAGAAACTGAAGTTGTCCAAAGGAAAACTCCATCCGATAAAAACCCCGTTATCTGGGTTCACGGGTGACTCTATCGAGGCAGAGGGAGTTGTCACGGTCCCGGTAGAGGTGGGGGACACATCCCATAAAGTGAAACTCAACATGGAGTTCGTAGTTGTCCGACTGACATGTGCACATAATCTTATACTCGGACGGCCAGGCCTGGAGGATTTGCAGTGCATTGTATCCCCGATACATCTCTGTATTAAGTTCCCAACACCAACCGGAGTGGGGATAGCACGCGGGAGCCAGAAGCTCGCCCGAACATGCTACATAAAAATCACAAAGAAGGTGGGGCGGCATGGCCACCAGGTGAACACCGTCACCACACAATACCTACAAGATGAAGAGCGAAGACCCCGTGCTGAACCAGCAGAAGGGACAGAAGAGGTCACCCTTGACCCTGCAATCCCAGAGCGCAAGGTTAAGATAGGCACCGGATTGTCGGCTGAGCTCCGTGCTGAGATCATAGCCGTCCTGACTATGTACCAAGGTGTATTTGCAAGAGGACCAGAGGACATGCCAGGCATCAATAGAGATGTCATCTCTCATCGCCTAGACGTAGACGCTGCGTCAAAACCGGTGAAACAAAAGAAACGTTACATGTCCTCGGACAGGCGGGAGTTCGTGAGGAAAGAAGTGGGCACCTTGTTAAAGATCGGCCACATCAAGGAGGTAAAATACCCAGAATGGTTGGCAAACGTGGTATTGGCACCTAAACCCCCAACATGGAGGATGTGTGTTGATTACACTGACCTAAACAGGGCATGCCCGATGGATCCATTCCCATTGCCTAACATCGACCAATTGGTGGACGAGACAGCAGGGTGCGAGTTGATGAGTTTCATGGATGCTTTCAGTGGATACCACCAAATTCGCATGCATGAGGATGATGCAGAGAAAACCTCATTCATGACTCCAGAGGGTGTTTTCTGTTACTTAGTCATGGCGTTTGGACTGAAAAACTCTGGGGCAACGTACACTCGCATGATCTCTAAACTTTTTCGACCTGTCCTAGGCCGCACCATGGAGGCCTACGTGGATGATATGATTGTGAAGAGTAAAAGAGCAGGTACGCATGCCGTGGATTTGGCAGAGGTGTTCAAAATCATGGAGAAGTTCAATCTTCTTCTCAATCCAAAGAAGTGCACGTTCGCCGTGCAGGGAGGGAAGTTCCTGGGTTACTTGGTAAGCAGAAGAGGAATCGAGCCAAATCCGGAGAAAGTCAAGGCCATTCTCAAAATGGAACCTCCTCGTAATGTCAAAGAAGTGCAGCGATTGACGGGACGCTTAGCGGCTTTGAACCGCTTATTATCAAAACTAGCAGAGAAAGCCACGCCATTCTTCCACATCATGAAGAAATCAAAGGGTTTCGTATGGACTGAGGAGTGCCAAAAGTCATTCGAGGGATTGAAAAACTACCTCTTGTCTCCTCCTGTCTTGTCCAAACCTGAGGCGGGGGAGACATTATACCTATACCTAGGGGTTTCACCAAGTGCAATTAGTTCTGTCCTGGTGCGTGAAGATGGTGGCGTCCAGAGACCCGTTTACTACGTAAGCAAAACTTTGAGGGACGCTGAGCTACGGTACACAACCATAGAAAAAACTGTTCTATCCGTGGTGTGGACGGTCAAACGGCTCACACAATACTTCCAAGCTCACCCTGTCCATGTACTGTCACACCAACCCCTGGGTGCCTTAATGAGAAGTCCCACGGCTTCCTCGAGGATGGTCAAATGGGCAGTGTATCTAAGTCAATTTCATATAGAGGTGAAGCCAAGACCTTCCATCAAGGGGAAAGCTCTTGCAGATTTCATAGTAGAATGCACAACGCGGGAGGAAGCAACGAAGATGAAGCATGGTGACGATGAACAAGAGTGGTGGATATTGTCCACGGATGGCTCCTCCGCGGCCAAATCTTGCGGGGGAGGGGTGGTCCTCACCACGCCCGAAGGCTTCAGGGCCTATTACGCTATTCGGTTCAACTTCAAGGCGGCGAACATGAGGGCGGAGAAGGTCAGGATACGGTGTGATTCAAAACTAGTGGTTGGACAGATCACGACTGAGTTTGAGGCGAAGGAAGAACGTATGCGGCTATATCGTGACGCTGCCCTGGAACTTCTGAAATTGTTCATCGCCTATGAAATTGAACAGATACCAAGAGCCCAAAATGTCGAAGCAGACATGTTATCCAAACTAAGTGCAGAGACACCGGAAAGGATTTCAAAGATTGCGAGGATAGAAGAGTTGGACACTTCCAGCATATATGCGTGCCCAGTCCAGGCCATAACCACGAGGGACGTAGACTGGATTGACTGCCTCATCAAGTATATCAACGAGGGAGTGCTGCCCGCGGAGGAGGTTGAAGCCAAGGTGACTAAGATGAGGGCGCCGAGTTATACCATTTTGAATGAGAAACTGTACAAGAGGTCATACAATGGCACGCTTCTCAAGTGCTTACGACCAGATGAGGCCAAGGTCGCCATGGAAGAGATACATGCAGGGATATGTTCAGCTCACCAAGGAGCACACACCATGTCCCGAAAAGTAATCCTACAAGGTTTCTTCTGGCCAACCATAGTTAAGGATTGCGCTGAATTTGTCAAGAGGTGTGTGGTGTGTCAAGAGTTCCAGAAATCTTTGGGACGTCCAGCCACCAACTACACCCCCATCAGCACGGCTATACCTTTCGCAAGGTGGGGAATAGATCTCATTGGTGCCTTACCAAGGGGAACAGGGAGTGTGAGATGGGTTATCGTTGCCATAGACTATTTTACTAAATGGATAGAAGCAGTACCCCTGACAAGCATCACTAAAGGGCAATGTAGGAAATTTGTCATGAAGCACATCCTTTGTCGCTTTGGAGTACCCCAACAGATCATAACTGATAATGGGAGGCAATTCGGAGCATCCGGATTTAACGAATTTTGTGAGAGTTGGGGGATCAAACACAGCAATGCGTCAGTCGCATATCCCCAGGCGAATGGTCAAGTGGAGAATGCAAACCGCACGATCATGGATGGTTTGAAGAAAAAGCTAGAAGCCGCCGGAGGGGAGTGGGCTGAAGAACTACCACAGATACTCTGGGCATACAGGACCACGCCAAGAAAGGCCACAGGCGAGACACCATTCGCCTTGACATATGGTTTCGAGGCGAGGGCGCCAGCAGAGGTAATTCTCCATAGTCGCCGAGAAGAAGAATATGACCCCGAGACGAACGAGGAGGTCATGGCGACTGAGCTTCTTTTTATTGAAGAAAGAAGAGAAGCGGCTTTCTGCCGTGCAGAGAACTATAGAAGACAAGTGAAGGGATACCATGATTCTCGAGTTCGCAAACGCAACTTTGAAGTTGGGGACTATGTCTTGAGAAAAAGGGAGGTCAGCAAACCCTTGGAAGGGGGGAAATTTGCCAAAAATTACGAAGGCCCTTACGTGATTAAATCAGTGATCCGTCCAGGGACGTTCAAACTCCAGACGCCGAAAGGAAAAGAAATTGAGAGGACTTGGAACGCAGAACACTTGCTCAAGTTTTACCATTGAAAATTTATCATTAATACTCCACCTGATGATTATGATGTATGGTAACCACGTATGGTGGTAAACGCGGTCCCTTTCCATCCACTGTTCGGATAAGAGATCTCCTTGATCCACACAAGAGTGAATAATGGCAGTCCCTGGCCTAAAAAAAAACATGGTGTCATCCAAGGACACCGTGGGTGTCAAACTCACCCAAAACAAAAACAAATTACAAGGTGTCATCCAAGGACACCGTGGGTGTCAAACTCACCCAAAACAAAAACAAATTACAAGGTGTCATCCAAGGACACCGTGGGTGTACAACTCACCCAAAACAAAAAAAAAATATGAAATAAAAAACCAGTAAGTAGCCAGGCATGTCTCCTATGACATAGCTGAAATTCTCAACACGCAAGGGGTATAGACTCGCCCCTAGAAAGGGGACGAGGATACATCGCAAATCGATCCCAACAAATGCGTAACCCTCAGGGTTGTATGGTCAGGATGCATCTGTGAAATTTATCGGATAGCGGCCATGTTTCCCAAAAAACGTTGTGTGCCTCAGAGCAAGCCTAGGTCACTCAAGTGTTAGGTTCGCTCACTTAGTCCTACTTTTTGGGGCTAAGTGATGCGCGCAATGTAGCGAAGGAGGAGGTGTCAACGACACCTTGTGCCTATCGTTGTCCTTAGTCACTCTATCTAAATGCACAATGCCTCAATTGAAAATTAGGCAGATACGGGGCGATAAATGCACCAAAGTTATACACTTGGTGTAGTATCACCGTACACTACTATAAATTATCACACAAACCATGCCAAACAAGGCATGGTCACCGCGCGGTCTCATAAAACCTAAATGTTGGTCAAATAATTAATTATGCGATAATACTAAACAATAACGAAAAGAAAATAAGACATGCATCATTATTATTTTATGAAATTCAAAACATGTTTAGCAATTCAGGTACTCATAATTGAAGACATGACAGAATTAAAGTCTACACTACGTCCATCCGTCACTCCCATGCATGCTCTAAGGCACAGAAGCAGTCGAAGCTGGGTGATCTGTCTCGGAAGGAAGATCGCCAAGCTCCTCATCAGTGGGGAGTCTGTCAAAAGGAATATAGTCCAGGGGCGTGTTGGCTACCGGGATCTCAGGGTTGGGAACCTCAGGAGGAAGTCCCCAATCAGTGATGCAAGAGGTACCAGCCTTATCCCTCAAGATAGGATATATTTTCTGTTGAGTGGCATATATCCCGATCTGGTAGGAGATGTAGCTCTCTAAGGCCAGTTTCTCACGACCTTCCGGAGTAGACAACCAATGCTTGCTAATATCGTTCAAGTGGGCATTAATGTATGCTTCCTGATCAGACACGAACTCTGGAGAATTCTTGTATGCATCCACGGCCCGCCCCCTTGCATTGGCCAACTCCACGGTGTGCATTTCTTTAAGCGCAGTGACCTCGGCTGCATGTGAGTCATGCACGAGCTTGAGCGATGCCACCTCCTTCGCTAATTCGGTGAGTTGTAGCGACAAATCTTTCTCGCGCTCATCTTTCCTTCGGTTCACCTCGGAGATGGACAACAGTAGCTACAAAAAAGAAAAAAAAAATTAGTATCACAAGATGCATAAATAAAAGGTAACGGGGAAATGGAAGGGTTACCTCGGCCAGGCCATGGTGGCTCCTCTTCTCTAAAGCAGCATGGTCAAGTGTTGAAATTTTCTCCTTCTCAGTCGCCGTGATCACCTGTGATAAGAGCGGGGGTAACTCAAGGTTACCTCGTAACCAAGTAGTCATCCCCGCCGTGGGAATATCACTCATGCTACGGGTGACGCGGGCTGCGGGGCTAGCGGCCCTGCGTTTTGCAATGGATGAAGGCACAGTTACAATGGCATCCTTGCCTTTTGTGACGGAGGGAACCCTTGGTTTCTTGTCAGAGCGCCCCTGGTCACTACCGCGAGGCCCATCCTGGTCGAAGCTTTGGAACATCTCCAACCGCGATGTCATATCTGCAAAAAAAAGGGGGTATGCATATGTGTTAGTTAATATATATATATATATATATATATATATATATATATATATATATATATATATATATATATATATATGCGTGTATTATCTCCTATAGACAAAGTAACTGTGGACAACCTTGATCCGTGGACGTGGATGCGTGTGCACCCGAACATGGTGACGGCGAATAGAGTCCAACCGTGGTTAGGCGGTCCTCGGAAGTAAAGGAAGAGAGGCTATACGGTCCTCCAGAAAGAATCATAGCCGGCCATGTCTCGTGGTCAACCGGAAGTTTCGGGTACGAATACCTCTTAAACCGACAATTCAAAGACGATGAAAAAGGTAACGGAGATCCAGACGACACATAGACAAATTCTTCTTTCCAATTGGCTTCGTTGCTACGAGTGACCTTCCACATGTCAAAGTGGTTGCGCTGAGAGATAGACACCCAGGACAGACTATCAGATGCCGAGCACTGCCCAGCTCGGAACATGTGCTTGAAGAGGTCTAGGGACGGTTCAATCCCAAGTGTCTTACACCGGACCAGGAAAGCTACCAGATACTGATAACCGAGCGGAGTCAAGTGACAAGGTGAAATTTCAAGATCATTTAAAAACTCGATAATCAAAGGGTGTGTGGGAAAGCGGAATCCTAATTTTATGGAAAGAATATGCACCCCGAAAAAGTGACCCTTAGGAGGATCGGTTACAATATCCTCCGAATCTGGACATCGGACAGTCACTGTGGACGGAAAAAATTTCTTATACTTTTGAAACTTGGAAACTGAGAGGCGCGACCTGTAGTGTAAGATGGGGCTCGGGTCTAAGGGTGGATACGGACCACGGTAGCGACGTTTTGGTGGTTTGACTGAAGCGGCTCGTGGCTTTATGGGACTAATTTCTTCAACATCAGAATTAACATCTGCCCAGGGATGAGGAAAATTCTCCAACACTAATTCCCTGTCACCACTGAACAATTCATCAGAGTCTATGGAGTCCAGTACATCCATAAGGTATTAACAGCTAACATATTATGCAAAAAAAAAAGGGCAAGAGAAAAATCAGCCGCTAATTATTAAAAAAAAAAAAAAAATATTACTACGTATATCAGTCGTTAGCTATAAAAAAAAAAATTGAAAGATACTTCGTACGTCACTGCAATTGATTGATAACATCAAGGACATAGCAAAAGGAGTTATGTTCAAAGCCAAAATTACGGAGGAGACTTAAGAGGGAAGTCAAAATTACAAATAAAAGGAAAGAAGACAGAAAACGGGAGCATACCTGTGTATTCTAACAGCAACGGCGGCGGAATCTGATTCAGACCTTCAGCGGGACAACGACGACGCAGGTGGAAGACGGCGATGGCAGGATGACAGACGACGACGGCACAGTCCCTGAGGTCACCGGAGTGCGCTAATGCCAGGCTATAGGGACACCGCCGGTGTGGTTGGGGTGCTCTGTTTACTCGCAGCGACCGTCTGGGGCGGATGGAGTACGACGGCAGGCAAGAACTTCGAACGTGGGTAGGCTGGTTGCGTAATTGGACGCTGGTGGCGGCTGGAGACGTTGACCGGCTGGTGGCTGCCGACGAGCTGCGACCTGGGCAGTATGGCAGTCCTTGACCCTCACCAACGAAGCTGCTAGGAAGGAAGTAAATTTGGAGTCATGAGCTGCACACTTCAGTAAAAGAAAAGGAAAATTGAATTAGTTAAAATGATTGAATGGGTAAAGACAAAAAACAAAAATTGACATGGTGACCATGTACACTCAACATTGAATCGGCAACTATGTCTATCAACATTGACACGGCAACTATGCCTATACTCCCTATCGCCAATATGCTATTTGGCTTAGGGAGTGGGGGCTTGTGATGGTATAATTATCCCAACCATGGATAAATATTGATCGGATTAACATGGATGAAAGTGAGTTAGAGGTTCATGTGCACGGTAACTATGTACGGATGATGATAAGGTATAAGAAGAGCTCGTACGTGGTGACCATGGGCGGGTTAGGAGATAAAAGACTGTACATGGCGACTATGGACAAGAGTTAGTAGAAGAATAGGGAGTACGGAGTAACCATGGATGTCATGGTAAGCTTATCCAAAGAGCACGTCCATAGCAACCATGGACGCAAGTAGAAGACCAGAGTGCACTATAGCCTTGGATGCCAGGGCGAGCTTATATAAAGAAATGTCCACAGTGACCCTGGACATAGTAGTAGAAGCTTATCTAAACAATCTATACATGGTGTCTCTGGACATCATGACAAAAGCTACATGGCGACTCCGTACGACAAACTACATCAACGACGTCTTTTCAAGATATTCACACAATCAACAAAGGATTCCGCGGATCCTGATTATTGATCTGCATATCAATTCGAACATGGCGACCATGTCGCCCGAATCTTTTATGTCTTATTTTCTACTATAAAATCATGTAATCCTTGGAATGTTGATCAAGCTCAATACACTGAATACACTACATACATTTATCTCTCTAAAGATTATCCTGAGCACTTTAATTATTTTCGGCTATCTCTTATTAATTATTTTCCGGTGGATTTACTTCCATCAGCACTGAAGATGCATTTGTAGGTGGTGACGATGTAGTATTTGAAACTTTTTGTAACGTATCATTTAATGTAACAATCTATTTAATTTAAAGATGTGTTAAGACTTGTTTAGTTTGAAGACAATTTCATTGTGTCTGTAATAAATTATTTAGTTTACCAATCGTTTTAATTATCATTCTCTTTTAATTGTCATATTCTTATTGGTTTATTAGTTGTTAATGTTATAAGTGTTAAAACAAATATTCATAATGTTTGTATTAACTTCAACACTCATTAAATATATGTTTTGCGCAATTGAAAATATTTCACGCCGCTGCAATCGCTACAGTCGGCTACAGGCCGCTACAGGCCGCTACCGCAATGACCGCTACCGCCACCGCTACCGCTGCCGCTACGGCTATTTAAAACCTTGATTTAGACAGTGCCGACCTATGTCGTGGTTTCTTTTTACCTTGACGAACAGGTTTGTATCTGTCTCCACCACAGAACTTGCAGAACTCAAGTGCCTCATCCTCCTTCCAGAACAACATACATCCTTCCGGGCACGCATCAATTTCAACACAAGGTAACCCCAACTTAGACATTAACTGCTTCATGTGGTAATATGAATCGGGAACGGTATGATCTCGCGGTAGCATCCCTCCTACTGACTGCAAGACTCTATTCATGCAAGTTTCAGGGAGACTATATTCGGCTTTTATGTTCATGAACTCAGTAACGGCGGATAGCTGAGAGTATCCCTCACAATCAGCATACAGAGGTTGGTCGGCAGCTTTTAGAACATCCTGAAATCTCTCAGCCAAACCTTCATCCACATAAGGTTGATAAAATGTCGGATTTTCATCCGCATCTGGTTGATACGAGGTTGAGGCTTCAGGGGCGTCGTTAGGTGGTTGTGGGGGGTTGAACTGAGACATCGGTACACCGTATGCGTCATATACCATTTGTTGGTCCCACCTCATTTCAGCACGGTCTCCCCACGCACTCATCTCTGGAGGGACGTAACGAGACGAACCTACCGTTTGTGGTATAACAGATGGATCCAAAGGTTCGCCGTGAGAAGTCCAATTATAATAATTGGGAACAAATCATACCCAACTTCGTGTGGGTCTTTAAATTTGAGATTTTTACACTTTGAACATGGACATCTTATTTTATCACCACTCATATAAGCCGGATGTTCAAGTGCAAATTCAATAAATTCCCCGACTCACTCGAGAAAATTTGATTGCATTCCGTACAATACCGCATCTTTATCATACATCCAACTTCTATTTTGTTTATACATTATGCCTGAATATTATAATAAAAAATTATATGAAATGCAATGCACACAATTTTAAGTAATTTATTTCACTAAATAATCAACTAATTTTCACTAAATTAAATGAAATGCACACAATTCACAACGATAATGCACAAAATATAAGTAATTACCTAATACTTAAATTTAAATTAAACATACGTTTAACTAAATTTAACTAACTAATTCATTTAGTTAAATTTAACTAAATTTAACTAGTTCATTTTGTCCCCTTTTAATGCATCACTACGTTTAAACCTACGTTTAACTAACTAATTTAACATAATTAACACATCACTAGGTACGTTTAAACCTACGTTTAGCTAACGAATTTTAATTAAATTATTTTTGTAAACCTACATTTAAACCTACACTCAATTATTACATTAATGACATTTAATCTTATTAGTACTACACAATTAACAATTCACTAAATTAAATAATATGACCAAATTAAACCCAATAATTTGAACATGTATATAAAGTCATTTGAATTAATAAATAATACACAATTACAATAACAATTCACAATACACATAATTAACACATTACTAACGTACGTTTAACTAACTACGTTTAACATAAACATCATTAAAACTAACTAATTTCACTTAACATAAACATCATTACGTTTAAAACTACGTTTAGCTAACTAATTTTAATTAATTTATTTTATAAACCTAACAGTTTAACTAATTTTATGACATTACTACGCTTACAGTTGAATATGTTGTTAATTAATTAACAACCTCACTAATTTAATAGTTTTAATAATTTAAATTGAACCAACTAATTCTAAATAAAAATAATAATTCAAATAACATACCTTAACTGCATAAACGGGGAAAATGATAGAAGACAGACTACATCCTTCGATCTTTCAAACAGATACTGTATATACTGGGAATGAATTGGTGTGGTTCTGTTGAATGAGCTGCTCCTGCATATATATAAAAAATTAGTCACGGACTTAGTCACGGATTTGTCCGTCACTAAGCAAAACCGTGTCCATTACGCGTCCAATCCGTGTTAATGACGTGTAAATGACGTGTTAATCAAAGTAGTCACGGAAGTAGTCACGGTCGTGGCCGTGACTAAATTTATCCGTACACATTACCGTTGCGAATTAATTTAAGGGAGATGAAAAATTGAATTTTAATCATAGTCACGGCTTTAGTCACGGATGTGGCCGTGACTAAATCGCCGGAGTAAAACAAGCCAGGCCGGAAAATCAAACGGGCCAATCGGAGGATGTTAGTCACGGACCAAATCCGTGACTAAGTGTAGTCACGGTCTTAGTCACGGTCAAATCCGTGACTAATTTTTTTTTTAAAAATTCCGTGACTAGTCCGTGACTAGACTAGTCACGGACCGAATCCTTGACTACGGTCCGTGACTAAACGCGTGTTTTTTTGTAGTGTATGATTGCAGTACTCTCTTTGTGGAGAAGATACATGGGTGAAATATTTTTTATTTATCGTGAATGATGTTTTTTTACTTAAAATTTGTGAGATTTGAGTGCAATAATTTGTTTAAAGGTAGACCAGTAGTCCGTAGTAAAATTCATACGTAGTATTACGGAGTGGCTAAGGTGGCTTTGAAATAAGAAATTCATATTCCACTACAAAAAATTGTGTTTACCGATTTTTTAACACGGAATTTGGCACGGACTTATCGATTTTTCGTGCCAAATAGCTTGTACCAAAGTGTTTTTGGCACGAATTTGGCATATCCTTGCCACAATCCCTGCCAAAATCTTTGTCAATCCTGTGTTTTTGTTGTTGTCGTAGTACTAGTATTTAAACTCACCCTAATTAATTGTATGTGTAAAATTAATTAGTACGGAGTACCATACACTGTAACACTTTGTAACCACTTATAATAAAGAGATGGAGCAAACAAAACAATTAAAGGAGCTAGGACAAATTTAAATATTTACTCCGTTTGAGTTCATGGTCGTTCTCCTATACACCATTGTTGGAGGTATTGGTCCTACCAAGGCCTCCCTTCCACTTTATTTGTTGAGGCTTGCACACTCTATTTTACTCTCTCTTGGATATCTTTACTGTGGTATATATCCTGATCAAATATATACCTATTTTGAGTGGTTGACTTACCCACTTGGCTGGCCCCTTTGTGTTCTGTCCGCTGCATCCATCTTTGTCTTGGCCTATACATGTGACACTCCTTTGTCTAGGTTGCATGTGAGTGTTTTTTGTCAAACCTCACCCGTGACACACTTTGGCAGCCTATTTGTATCCTCTGCTTCTTCCCTTGTTGAGCAGCCTGCGCAGAAAGCATTCCAGAGAGAGCAGTGCTCCCTTCTTCTTCCTTTCCTTTGTGTGAGAGTGTAGAGAGGTCCTTTGTGGAGAGTAGAGAGTTGTGTGCTATAGCCTCCTCTTAGTGTGGTGTATGTGAGTAGTGTGTAGAAAGACCTGAGCCGAAGACGGATATACGATCCTAACAGTGGTATCAGAGACGGAGTTCGCCGTCTGCCGCCGTCCGCCGCCGCCGCCCGCCGCCGCCGTCGATTGGAGCTCGCCGAAGGTCTTGGAGCTGCCTGGTCGTTCCCACGAGCTCGCTGAGGTCTCTGTTCGCTGAAATCGAGCTCGCCGGAAGTGGAACCTCCGCCATCGCCGCCTGGAACCTCCACCATCGCCGGAGGTTGGTTTCCCTCTATCCGGAATCGCCGCCGCTGGGAACGAAGCTCGCCGTCCGGAAATATCTCGCCGCTCGCCACCACCGGTCGCCTGCCATCGCTCCTCCGTCGAAGCCACCAGCCTGCGACATTTGTGGCTCGCAGGACTGGAGCTCGCTCATCGTTG